GCACACTGGAGTCCCGACAACAGAAAGAAGAAAGACTTGTGATGCGCCATGGAGCCTTTAGTCTAAGATACTTAGAGGAAAACCTAATCATAAAAATTAAACTTCAATGCAACACAAATGATTGTAACTTAATAGAGGAGATTTTAAAATACAGAGAAAAAAATCTTTATTTCTTTATTTTTACTGAAGTAAAAACAAATTCCCTAACTCACCTGTATTTAAGGGTAGTGAAATGTTAAACTCACTGAAGTTGGTAAATATGCTATAGTTGTGTAAGAAGCATCCCCTTCTAGACTATAAGCACACTGAAGAATTGAGGGAGTAAAAGGCCATGGTGTAGATAACTTGCCCTTAAGCGGTTAAAAAAAAAAATTGTGTGTGTTTCTGTGTGTGTGTGTGTGTGTGTGTGTGTATGTGCGTGCGTGTATGCACACATGTAAAAACAAAGAGAATACAATGACAAAACAAGGGGATAAAAATGCCAACATAAATCAATCTTGATAAAGAAACACATAGGAGTTTTTTAATATTTTATTTTTGAAACCTTTCTAAGTATATAAAATTATATCCAAATAAAAGGGTATTCCTTTTTAATGTACAAAGAAGGAAATAAATGAAAAAAAAAAAAAAAAACAGCAAAATGTTGACCATTCCGTAAGACAGGTTGTGGGTAAATGAGAGTTCATTCTATCATTCTCTCTACTTCTGTACATCTTTATTTTATATACTAAAACATGAAAAAAAGAAAACAGTAGATAAAATCATGTAGGTAAGGTAGCTACTATAGTGCCTAGCAAACAGAAGGTATTCAATAAATAATAGACACTTTTATTACAACTGAGTCACATCTCTCAAGTGTAGACAAGTATTGGCTTTTAGTGTATAATTACATTTTAGTATTAACTGACAATCCATAGATGTAAAGTGCTTTGCTGGACACTGTATGCCAAGAAGTAGCTCAGAACTCAGGTGGTCATGACACTGTAAAAAAAAAAAAAAAATAGAATAGCCTATTTCATATAGATGAGGTTGCTATGAGAATAAAGCCAGCGTTTAAAGAGTTCTCTTATATACGCAGAAGAGTTATATAAATGTTAGCTCTCCTTTTATTGTACAGAGAGACAATATAGGGAGAATAAGGCACATATGTATGTAAATATAATCAAATTCAAGTGACAGGTTCCACAGAAAACAATCACACCTAGCTAGGAATGCAAAGGAAGTCTTCATGGAGAAGGTGGTACTCAAGATGGACTTTAAGAGATGGATGAGCAGAAAACTCAAGTCAGTGAGAGGAGGAACTAGGATGCAAGACTACTGAAATAATTCAAGCAAAGGCATTCAAAGAGAATGTCAGGAAGCAAGAAGTAACAAAATGTTAGGGTATAGGAAAAAACAGCAGTTCGACCACAAATACATCTGTAAAAGTGAATGAGAAGAAACTACAAAAGGTCTTGCCTGACTTGGGAGGCTCCAGGTATGTGGCTCGCTACTCATCCGGACCCCAGTTCTATCACCAGGGTTCTCCTCTTCCCATGGCTGGTGCCAATAAAACTTCACTATCCAAGACTGTTTTTGAAATACGACACTCTGTTTCAAAAGGGACAATTTAAGCAAAGCATACAATGCAGAAATTGCTACAAAAGGAAATGCTTTCTATGCCCAGGGAAAATTCAATCACAACAAAAATGAATGTAATCCAAATAAATTTGAAATTTACATTTAGCTTTTAAATATAATTTTGTTCTGTGAGAAACTTCCAAATCATATATTTCACAAGCTGTTTTAGTCAGCTTTTTAATCACTATAACCAAAAGACCTGACAAGAACAATTTTAAAGGAAGAAAATTTTATTTGGGAATCACAGTTTCAGAGGTCGCAGTCCATAGATGGCCGGCTCCATTGCTCTGGCCCAAGGTGAGGCAGAACGTCCTGGCCGAAAGGTGTGAAGGAGGGAAGCAGCTCAGGACAGACAATCAGAAATACAGAGAGCTCTGCTCACCAAGAACAAAATATAAATTCCAAAGGCATGCCCCCTCAATGACCCACCTCCTTCAGTCATACCCTACCTGCCTGCAGTTACTACCCAGTTAACCTATTAGTGGGTTAACCCACTGACTAGTTTTCAGCTCTAATAATCTAATAATTTCCCCTCTGAACATTCTTACATTGTCTTACATATGAGCTTGGGAGACACTTCATATCCAAACCATAACACAAGCTAATATTAATGTAAGAAATTCCTTAATTACCAACTAAAAATCATCAAAAGTGAGCACATGATGAAAGTTAAATTTTGTCAGTGTAACTGATATTTCTAAAATGTAGTTGAATTCAAAATTACATGACTGTGATAGTTCTTAAATTTTATTTTGCTGACAGTACATAGCTGTCCTTTGTTGTTTTTTATAACGTTTTGACTCACATACTATAAAATAATGAATCCATAATTACTCCATCCTGATTTATGCTTCTACATGAATAGTTTTATGAAGATTTAGGAAGAGAACTAGGCAAAATGTCTTTGTGACTATAGTATGCTATAAAACATAAATCTATTTTAATTCCTTACTAAATTTTAAAACAGTGAAAAAAATACCAGAGAATCTTTAAAAGTTATTTTAGAAATAACCTCAGAGATCATTATCCCAATCAATCTTCTCACTCAATAGGCAAGGAAATAGTTAGGAAAATTAGAATTATATGCTAATAATATGATAACCTCCGTATGATATGCTGCTAACTGATTAAAAACAAATCCAAAATTTTAAATTCATATTTTTTAGCACCCAAAATACTAATGACACCACATACATTACTGGGCATCTATCTAATATAACACATAACCTAATACAATACATAATTGAACGAAAAATCAAAAACTACACATATTTGTTTACTTTAAAAAAGAAACTGTCTATGTATTATCACTGTCTTAAAGAAAGCAGATAATAAACTTATAACATTTCCCCCTAAAGCCTAAATATTAAAAATGGTCACTTTTAAATACCAGCTTACTGACTCTGTTAGCATTCTGTTGCTGTGACAAAATGTCTAAGATAAACAACTAAAAAGAAGGAAAGATTTATCTTGTCTGGTGGTTTTGGAAGTTTCAGTCCATGGGTGGCCCAGTTACTTTTAGGCCTGTGATGATGAAGTACATCACGGTGGTGGGAGGATGATGCAAAGGAGGGTGCTCACCTCATGGCAGCCAGAAAACAGAAAGAACAAGGGGTCAGGGACAAAACACATGCTTCAGGAACATGCCCTCAGTAACCTATTTCCTCTAAGTAGGCTATTCCTTCCAAAGTCTTTTCCACCTCCCAACAGCACCAGCTAGGAACTGAACTCATGTGCTGACATGAGTCTTTGGGGGACATTTCCGATCTAAAACATAATAATGATTTAAAAAAAAAAAAAAGAATTGAAAATACTAACAGATCAATTAAGTCTTCCAATGGGACACAAAAAGCCATTCTTGTGTTGCCTTTGCCTTTCAGCTTATGGATGAGCTGTACATAGCTTCCTTGTCTAAAATAATACAGATAGGCATTGGGTAATGCAGGTACAGCATTCTAAGCAGGCTGCTCAACACCAAAGACAAGGGCATCAGTGATCACAATGTATTTAAGTTCACAATATTAAGAGAAATTAAAGGAGGACAAATCTAGAAAGTCTAGTCTACTGATCAATTTCTTAAATCAACAAAACAAAACCCAGAAGGGTTTTGTTTTGTTGTTTGTTTGTTTGTTTTTAACCACTAAGATATATCCCCAGCCCTTTTTAATTTTAAGATAAGGTCTCAATAAGTTGCTTAGGGTCTCTCTAAGTTGCTGAGGCTAGCTTCAAACTTGCAATCCTCCTGCCTCAGCCTCCCGAGCCACAGGGATTACAGGTATGTACCACTGCACCCGCCAAATTTACCATTTCTTAACAAAAAGTTACCAACATTCATTATCTAATAAGTTATTGCACAGTACTGCCCTTTCCTATTACACTGATGTCCTGGCCTGAGTATGGAGAGCATGCCATGACCACAACTCCACTGTAGAAACCAGCTTCATCTGGACCCTGCATTCTAATTAAAGAGAGTATACTGCACACTGTGCAGACCTGACACCTGCTAAAGTATTTTTTATTTATCCTTCAGAATAAAGCAAAAGTTCAGTGTTGTGACCTCATATGACCTGGGACCCCAAGCTAACAAAGGGGAGGACCAGAGGTACTTGGTGCTTCTCATGTCCTCAGGTCTGAACCCTGTGAAGCAGAAATGAGAGCTTCCTATGTGGTAGGGAAAAAAGGGCTTTCTTCAGCTACGACACTTTTTCCCAAGCAGAAAAAACTCAAATTTGTAACCACCACTTTATTACAAATTCTTCAAATGTGCTAATTTGTCACTGAATAAAATGGAGCACTAAATATAATAGAAAAACTAAACTCAACTGGTCATATAAAATCCCAAGCAACAAAGGTCTTTAAAAAATATATATGTGTGTGTGTGTGTGTGTGTGTGTGTGTATTTTAGTTGTAGTTGGACACAATGCCTTTATTTTATTTATTGTTATGTGGTGCTGAGGATTGAACCCGGTGCCTCGCACATGCTAGGCAAGTGCTCTACCACTGAGCTACAACCCCAGCCCCCACAAAGCTCTTTTATAACAAAAGCAGTAAGAAGTTTAAATTTTATTTTTAAACTTATTTTAAAAGGTTTATTTTTACTGTATAGCCAGAACTCATAAAATATAGATATGTATGCCTAAACATTGTTCTTGAAGAATGGTGCTTTATAGATAAATAATACATTCATTATCTGCATGTATTTAATATAAATCACTGCACAGAATGGAAAGAGTAATATTTTAGTTACTTTCATTATTTCACACTTATCCCACTACACAAATCCAACATAACTGTTGAAGATGGCAGTCAAAAGAACAGAATTTGTTATGCCTGATTAAATGTATACACAAAAAGAATTGAAAAAATCTTATAGGACTTACTTGCTACTCCTGATGCCAGTCCATAAAGCAGTCCTCCTCCATCTGACTGCTGGGGGTAAATATGGGCTCCTGGAGGAGGAGGCTTTTCTTGTCTTATGAAGTTATATAATAAAGTTTTCACAAGTTTGCTGGTGTATGGAAGACTACACAAAAAGAAAAAAATCAAACATGTTTATGGGAGTCACCTAATTCTATAAAAGTGACACAGAAGTAACTCTGACATTAATATTGCTTGAAAGAAATATTCACTGTCACATGTCAAGACTCTGAGGGCTGAGATCATTGTTGAGGCTTACTTCTGACTTTGCCTCCTGCCACACCAGAAGACACTGGTCACATCTTTAAAATAACTGAGAGTCAGTTACATTAGCTGTAATCAATATAACATTTGTGAGACATTAATTTAGTGCATAATATAGTACTGGTACTTAAAGAAAGGTGGTAACATGAAATCATCACGGAAGAGCAAGGATTTAAAGATAGTAATAAAAGACTGCACTTGTTAAGCATGAAAGTATTCGATATATCCAATTATTTAATTGGTAATACACCAATTCCTGCAATCTATATTGAATTTATTAACAGATCCTTGAATGTACTATTGGATTTTTAAAAATATTGCTTCCAAAATTAACAACAAAAATCAGTAAAAGAACATATTATAGTTTAAGTACCTGACACCATACTAGTACAAAAACCCTACTATCTATTCATTCAACCAATTGCAGATTAAAAATTTCAGAAAAAATATGCATCTGTATTACACATGTACAGAGATTTTTTCTTATCATTATTTCCTCAATGATAAAATGTAAATCATTTGGATATGATTCAAAGTATAAAGGAAGATGTGTATAGGCTGTATGTATTTTATCTAAGGAACTTGAGTATACAGGATTTGGGTATCCTTGGTGGGGGGCTGTGGGAGGGGGGTTCTGAAACCAATTCCCTGTGAATAACAAGGGACAACTTTAGTTTCAAACAGATGAGTGAGAAGAAGATACAAGAACAATTTGAACAAACAAATATGACTTGATGACTGCTTAGACATAGAAAATGAAGAAGGAGGAAAAAAAAAAGAAAGACACTTTGAAGGTTTCTATTCTACAAAGCAACCGCTAGAGATGGCAATGAATTTAGGGGACAAGAAAAACAGGGAAGATGAGTAGTTTGAATACAAAATTGAATTTAGACCCTAAAGGATGTAAAGCTGTAGTAAAAAAAAAAAAAATCAGAAGCAACATATTGGAGATACAGGACCACACTTAAGTAAAAGGACAAGAATACAAATATAAATTATGCAGTTTAAGAAGGGACAAATTTAAAATAGAAACATACCATGGACCTCGCATCAAATACTTGTGACTAATGCTCTGTCGCAAAATTTCTTTGTGGAAGAGTTGGCAGGAAAGGAAAACAACCATTGTTGATATAGCTTCCACTGATATTTCATATGTAATATCTCTGGAGAAATAGGGAAAAACAGTAATGATCATTTTAAAGTAAGATATACATTAAAAACTCAAATCAACATTTTCTTAATATTAAAGAACTTACATATTTAACAAAAAATTAAGTCAAACAAAAATATTAAACTCTTTCTCAGGCATTAGTTATTTTATTCTGGCATTTCATTATTTTCCTAATTTCCAATTCCACCTCATATTGAAGGACATGCCTGTCATGAACACAATAACCAGCAGTGTTCTACTTTGAGGATCCTCTCTAAACCCCTACATTTATCCCTCTATAGTAATGGCACAGAAACAAATATTCAGATTGTAAAGTGGAAGAGAAATTACAGTGCAGGGAACAAAACAATGAATTTAGGAGTTCATAATTTCTTTACACTCATAACCATGGTAAAAGATCTTTCATCTCTAGTGTATGCTTTCTTAAGGTCAAATTTGCATGTCTGGCAAAATATTAGTGGTATACACATCATTTCTGTTTTATTAAGCATATTTCTTTTAGGAAGGACTACCCTGTCTGTCCTCTCAAGATCATTAACCACTTTTAGAAACAAATCTTAGATCACTTAAAAGCAAAAGTTTCAGCTGAGTAAGGAGATCAAACAAGAAAAATGTATCAAGATATCTTGAGGGCTGGGGTTGTGGTTCAGAGGTAGAACGCTTGCCTAGCATGCGTGAGGCACTGGGTTCGATGCTCAGCACCACATAAAATAAAATAAAAATATTGTATCCACCTATAATTAAAAAGTAAATATTAAAAAAAAGAAATCTTGAGTTACAGTAAAAAATGGGATTATTTCAGGGACCAGGAAAGCAGAAATCTCAACAGCATAGCAAAAAGAGTAGCAGCTCCAAAAGAATGCCAAAATACTTTTATAAATCTGAAATATGCATGCAAAGTAAAAAAAAAAAAAGTACTTAACACATCTATTTAAATGAAACCTCATTAAATAATTTAGGGAAAACTTGACTCTAGAGTTAGACAAGCTTAAACTCTACCAGATATTTTAAGACGTTAACAATAATAGAAATATGTTTAAAAAACAAAGTGGGCAGGTCTGGGGTACAGGGCAAAAAAAAAAAAGTATACAAAACACTCAACTGATCCTATTTTGTAATGAATAAATCTCAATTCTACTCAGAAATTTTATTTTCTAAAATTTCCAGAACTACTGCAATAAAAAATTAACCATATTAAAAGCAATTCTTATACTTAATCTGATTTCCAAAACTGAATGAAAGATAAACCTGATGTTTTATGCTTATGATATGATTCACTAATGATGATTTGGATGCTCAGATAAGATTTTACATTAGGTAATCATTCATTTGTATTGTCCAGGCTTGTCTAGAATCCATACTCTATGTCAACTGACTAGGCTTTTCAGTTGAGTCAAAGTTTAAAGCCAAATCCTGAATTAACAAATACCCTTCTAGTAAGACAGAGCCTATCTAGGGGATGGGGTCACAGATAACAAACTACAACACATCTGCAAAGGTATTCAATAACTAAATCAAAAATAAAGTATCAACTATAGTGCTTTATAACTCCACATCTTGTGGAAACAACAAAGACTCAGAAATACATGGTTTTATTTTGTTTAAACTATAAACTATAACTATTAATAAATACTAGGCCTAAAATCTCTGAGGAAAAAAAGCATGTATTTAGAAATAAACAAAATCACAAGTGAAAAATTAGGAAAAGTGTTAACCCTTGGATCATCCTCTCTGATCAAGGAATTCTGAAAATTTAAGAGTGAAGAGTAAAGGGTTTGATGTTGGGAGGTAGTAAGTTCATAGTACATAGAATATTGACCACACCAGACTAAAGGTGCATTCCCCAAGACTTCTAATTGGAACCATGGCCCTTACCTGTATTATTTCATATGCCCAAACATATAAATTCTATCAAATTCTTTATCACACCACCCTTTACCTCACATATCATTTAATAAATATTTATGAAGAATTTACTCTTACTATACTTAGTGTTATGGTTTGGACAGGAGGTGTCCCCCAAAAGCTTATGTGTGAGACAAAGCAGGAATGTTCAGGGGTGAAATGGTTGAACTATGAGAGTTGTAACCTACTCTGTGGATTAATCCACTGATCTAGATTAACTGGGTGGTACCTAGGCAGGTGGGGTGTGGCTAGAGGAGGGAGGTCACTAGAGGTGTGCCTAGGAGTTTACAGTTGGTCTTTGGTGAGTGGAGTCCCTCTCTGCTTCCTGCTTGCCACGTCCTGAGCTGCTCTCCTCTGTCGTGCACTTCTGCCATGGTGTTCTGCCCCATCCTAGGCTCAGAGCTGTGGAGTCAGCTGACCATGAACTCAACCTCTGAATCCATGAGCCAAAATAAACTTCTCCTCCTTCACATCGTTCTTGTTAGGTCTTTTGGTCACAGTGGCACAAAGTTAACTAAAACATCTAACTAGGCATTATATTACATATTGGAGACAAATCCATCGACAAACAGACAAGGCTTCTACCTTTATGGAGTTTGCAATTTAGTGGAGAAGACAGAAATCAAATACTTAGTCCAAAAAAGAACACTTATGGAGGGGTGGTGGGAGAGGGGAAGAGAGGGAAGGAGGGAGGGAGGGAGGGAGGGGGAGAAGGAGAGGGAGAGGGAGGGAGGATTACAGGGAAATTATTTTTAACTTTGAAATTAGAAGAAAGTTTCTCTAAAAAAAGTGACATTAAATTAAACCTGAACTGCAAGGGGGCAGTTCTTTGCATTGAAGTCTTTCTTACTAGAATACATGAAGTTCTAGCTTAAGACTCTTTCATTTTTGGTATCATTTGTATTCTTAATTCTAGTACCTAATAGGCATTCAACAGATAAAGAGAGAGAAGGCTCTTTATTGCTCTGATTTTGACTAAAACTTACTTGATAGTTTCCTAAACAGATTCATCAGCATAATGTAACAGTCATGCATAATTTAGAAAAATAAACAGGAATTAGTATGTGAGGTATTGTAATACATATGATAAGCAAAAAGAATACTTATGTGACAAAAACGTATAGGGAATTTCTCAAAAGAAGAATGCAGGATGTTGCTGACTGGATTAGAACTTTGAACCATGAACTCTGCCTGACCAACATCCTCCACTTCCCCTTCTTTGGCAAAAATAGCCCTCTTTGCCTTTCAGGCCCCTCCTCACACCATTCAAGGCACAGATGCTTGACCCTACCTCCTGGTTACAAGAGGTGATCAAAGACTGGCCAATAAAAATGTTCTTATTAAAATGTTTCCTAGGACTTTTGGAATTATCAGGGAAAAGGCACTCTCTCCTCCTGACTTTGCAAGTATAAAAACCATCATATCTGGAGCTTCTGGTGGCTTTCTTTGCCAATGCAGAAGAAGCTCCTGCCTGAGAAATGGTCCAGTTGAGGGTGTGAGCATAGCAGCGGCAAGAGATTGAAAGGAAAAGGGGAAAAAAGCAAGAGGAGAAAGTAAGGGATCCTACTGATTAGTTAATAGAAAAATTAGGCACATAAAAAACAATTATAATGATAACGAAATCCAGCAAATGTCCATGAAAGTGGTTTTTGTTTTGGTTTTGATTTTGGTTGGTTGGTTCTTTGGTGGTACTGGGGATTGAACCCAGGGGTGTTCTGACCTATACCCCAGGCCCTTTTATTTTGAGATGGGGCTTCACTAAGTTAATGAGGCTGCCTTTAAACTTGTGATCCTCCTGCCTCAGCCTCCCAAGTAGCTGGGATTACAGGTGTGTATCACCATATGCAACAAATATGTCCTATCTTAGGAACACAAAGATAACGACAATCAGTATTGCAAGAGCAGAGCTTGTCTAGTACGTGTGAGGCACTGGATTTGATCCTCAGAACCACGTACAAAAAATAAATAAATAAAATAAAGTTTAAAAAATATAACTGGAGGATCTTCATGTAAGATCTGAAACTCTAAAACTACTAGAGGAAAACCTAGGGAAACATTTCAAGATATTGGCACAGGCAACAATTTTCTGGCTAGGACTACAAAAGCAAAGAAAACAAAAGTTAGAATTGACAAACATGACTATATCGAGTTGAAAAGCTTCGCATAGCAAAGAGTGAAGAGACAACTCTACAGAAATGGGAGAAAAATCTTTGGCAGCTATTCATCTGACAGAGCATAATATCCAGACAGCACAAAGAACTCAAAAAACTTAACAAGAAAACAAGTAATCCAATCAAAAAATGGGCAAATAATCTGAACAGATAATTCTCAAAGGAAATATAAGCCAGGCTCAGTAGTGCATGCCTGTAAACACAGTGACTCGAGAGGCTGAGATAGAAGGATTCCAAGTTCGAGGCCAGCCTCTGCAACTTAATGAAACCCTCAGCAACATAGGGAGGCCCTGTCTCAAAATGAAAACTAAAAAAAATGAAGTGGGGATGTAGATCATTTTTAAAGCACACTTGGGTAAATTCCTAGTACCAAAAAGAAAAGAGGGGTCAGGAAGAAAGAAAAGAAGGAAAGGGAGGAGGAAGAGGAGGAAGACAATGATGGTGATGACAACCACAATTGGCCAATAAATACATGAAAAATACTTAATTTGTTTAGCCATCAGGGGAATGCAAATCAAAACTGCAATAAGAGTCTATCTTACCCTAGTCAGAATGGCCATTATAAAAAATACACAAATAACAAATGCTGGAACCCTTATATACTGTTGGCATGTAAGTGAATTATCCAGCCATTATGAAAAACAGTATGGAGGTTCCTCTAAAAACTAAAAATAGAACTACAATATGATCCAGGCATCCCACTCCTGAGTATCTATCCCAGGTATGCTGCATACCTGCATATCCTGCAGTACTATTCACAACAGACAAGATATAAAATCGGCTTAGCTGTCTGACAATAGATGAATGGATATAGAATATATGGCATATATATCATTCAGCCATAAAGAACAAAATCCTGTTGATTGCAAGACAATGGATAAAAACAGAGGGCATCCAGTTGAGCAAAATAAGTCAT